CTTTTTCTCCTCCTCCTCCTCCTCCTCCTCCTCCTTCTTTGACTTTCAACAGGGAAAAAACCAAAGAGAACTTAATTCATCTCCTGTCACAATGTTGCCACCACCACAGCTTTCACCCAGCTGACAGAGCAAGCTGCCTCTGGGGCCATCATGTCACTTTGTCACACACGGGGACCTAATGGAGATTACGGAGCATTTGACAAGCTTCCATTAAAGTTGGTCCAACGGTCAATGAACATGCAGGTGGCCCTTCAGGCTAAAGGGGGAAAGTAGGAAGCTTCTTTAGAAACAAAGGTGCAGGGCTCGAGAGAGACGCCTCGGGTCAAGAGCACTTCTTGTTCTCCAGCGAATCCGAGGTGGGTTCTCAGCACCCAAGTCAGGAGGCTCACAAGTGCCTGTAACTCCAGCTCCAGGGGATCTAGAGATTTACTCTGGCCTCTGTGGGCACCCACACCAGCATGGCGTGTGAGTGCGCGCGCGAACACGCGCGCGCACACACACACACACACACACACACACACACACACACACACAATCAATTAACCAGTAAATAAATAAATAATAAAATCTTAATTTTAAGGAGAGGGGGAAAAAGAGCTCCATATGACTGGGTGAAGGACCGCAAGGGAAAGCGTGACACTTCTGAAAAGTTAGAAATCTAGAGGGTGTTTCCTAATCAAACATTAAGATCAAAGTGGGATTTTTCATTTTTTTGCTATCTCTCTTCAGAGAAAGGATGTCCTCTCCACTGAAACAGGCACCAGAGGAACGCAATGGTACTCGAGATCTAGTTCCAGAAGACCAGGGCTGGCCTGAAAGCTAGTGTGATGCTTCTTGCTCACTCTCCAAATGTTAGGCGCAGTGACCCCCAGTGTGAAAGGTCTCCTCATGGCATTAAGAGGAGAGCCGGAACAAGGCATGTGGCCAACCACCATCTCGGAGGGGAGACTGGTGGTTTTTGAAGACTAAACTATCAGAGAAATGTTGTAGGATATTGTTTTAAGGTGTGTTACTTTTGTTTATGTTGCATTTGTTTAACTCTGTGAAGCTGTGTTACTGTGCCTGTCTAAAACACCTGATGGTCTAGTAAAGAACCGAATGACCAATAGCAAGGCAGGAGAAAGGATAAGTAGGGATGGCAGGCAGAGAAAATACATAGAAGGAGAAATGTGGGAGAAACAAGATTGAGGAGCGAGAGAAGGAGGAGACCATCAGGGTCCAGGCACCCAGCTACACAGCAAGCCTTGGAGTAAGAGCAAGATTTATAGAAGTAAGAGAACGGGAAAAGCCCAGAGGAAAAATGTAGATGGGATGATTTAAGTTAAGGAAAGCTGGCAAGAAACAAGCCAAGCTAAGGCTGGGCATTCATAATTAAGAATAAGCCTCCATGTATGATTTATCTGGGAGCTGGGTGGCAGGCCCCCCCAGAAGAGTAAAGAGTAAAAGCAAACAACAGAAAAAGCTAGGCATGGATAAGCTCTTCTGAAAAGGGCAGGCTGATGGTGCTGTGGGAAAGAAAGAAAGGTATGGGCTAGTTTTTTGTTTGTTTGTCTTTGTTTTTTGTTTTTTTAATTTTATGTGCATTGGTGCTCTGCCTGCATGTATGAGGGTGTTAAGATCCCCTAGAACTGGAGTTCCAGACAGTTGTGAGCTGCCATGTGGGTGCTGAGAATTGAACCTGGGTTCTCTAGAAGAGCAGCTAGTGCTCTAAACCACTGAGCCATCTTTCCAGCCTCTTGGCTTGGTTTTTGTGTTAAAAATAAACATATAAACATCCTATCATCACCTGTTAGCAGCGCCTGTGGACTTCCGTCCAGAAACCAGGATGCTGTTTAAAAAGCTGTTCCTGCTAAATCCTACGAAACAGCTTGTGGAAACAAAGATGTTCCTCCCAAGGACAAAAAGCAGATTTTTGTATTAAGTGATTAAAATGATCTTATTAAATAATTAAAATGATTCTTTCCAACATTGCAGGAGGTGGAATGGAAAAAGTCAAGGGCAGCGTTTGGGCTATGTGTATTTCTTTGGCAGCTCACCCTCTATGAATCTCTTCATCCCTTTCAAGATCTTCAACTGTCCTGTCCCATTCAGATGCTTCTCAAGGTGCACTTTTCATGGGGAGAAATTATTTTCTGGGTCCTGGTTTATCTGAGCATCTGGCATGGGGGTGGTGCCTCTTCCTGGACATCTCCAGCACAAAGGCCAGCTGGGTTCTTCTGGAACCCGGCATCCTGAGGCATCCTGACCCACCCAGAACTTCCCATTTCCTCCCTTTCCCCATTTTTCTTCACTTCTAGTTTGCTTTTTTTTTTTTTTCAGCATTGGTAAGAACAGGAAGTGCCGGGCTTCCTCTCCAGGGCTTCCGTCAAAGGGATGTGCTCACCACATCGAAAACATCAGCCGGAAAGAGAAAAACGCACACACCCTCCAGAAAGCATGACCCTCTCTACCCACCCTCCCCCTCTGTGCCCTCCCATCCTGGCCCCAACCCACCCCCAAGATCTTCAGAGGTCCATGGGGTTGCACCACAGTTTGGGCCGCAGCAACACTCAGGCCACCTTTAAACCCACTGAAAACTGATTCAGCTTGTGGGTAAGGGTGCTTGTCAACAAACTTGACAGCCTGAGTTCAAACCTGGGGGCCGTGACAGGAGAAGACCAACTTTACAAGTTCCCTGGCATGCATGTGCCCCTCCCTCCCTCTCTCTCTCTCTCTCTCTCTCTCTCTCTCACACACACATTATTATTATTATTATTATCATTATTATTATTATTATTATTTTTAATGGAGGAAGCCCATGCTGATCATGGTGTCACGGTGCTGAGATCCTAGCGCTTAGAATACAGGAGGAGGGGGAGATTCAAGGTGAGTTTGAAGCCAACCTGGATTGCACGGGACCACCTTCTCAAACAAATAGATAAAGAGCCGAGTGAGACTGGCTGGCTGTGAACGACCTCCAGGCTGTCTCCATGTTGTGCCGTCGGTGACGAGTACGATTCTGAGCCTCCTTACCTCTGCCCCATAAGACCCTCGTCCAATCTGCCATTTAATCAGTAAACGTGTGTTTTTCAGGGACCACTAACCATGCAGGGCTAACGGTTTGATCTACTTGATAAAGACAGGCAAGGTGCTGAGGTTGCCTACACTGATACCATCTTGACCTTAATTCTATATGACCTTCAGCAAATCTTAACTGCTCTCAGCCCAGGGTTTTCTTCAAATTACGTGAAATTATCTAAAACATTAGCACAAAGGAAATGTTTGGAAATTGTTGGAGAGGATGGAGGAAGAGATGACAAGTGGGGATTTCTAAAGTTAATGCCAGGACACTGCAGTATCCTGTTTAGTTTTGTCCTGAATTTCCGGCTGCATTCCAACAATGCTATCATCTCTAACTCGATGGAACAGCAGCATCTCTATGCTAAACGCCCCTAGGGAGCACCTTGAAACAGGCAGGGTCACGCCCACCGTGGAGTCAAGTTGCTGTGGGCAATAGTATTGTCCTTATTAAAAAGAAAATGCACTTTAAAAAAAAATCACTGTTATGTTTTTTACTTTCTCTTTTTCTGTAGATAAATATTTTGGCTCCAAATACAGTTCTTTTTGCTCCCTCACTCTTGTGCTCCCCGCTTCCTCCTCTTAGACCTTTATTTAGTCCCCCTTCTCTCTTCCATGCAGGAGAGAAAATGTGATGTGGGAGTGTTCTGTTTTATTTTAGTGTGTGTGCGTGTGTGTGTGTGTGTGTGTGTGTGTGTGTGTCCCCGTCCGTCCGTCCACAGAGGCTAGGGACATTAAATCCCCTGGATAAAGATGGTTGTGAGCTGCCCAGCATGGGTGCTGGACACTGAACCTTGGTCCTCCGCAAGAATAACAGGTGCTCTTAACCACTGAGCCACCGTTAGGTCCCAGGAAGTGCATCGGACAGCCTCGGCTTAGCTCAGACTGGATTATAGAAAGATTTCTGGTGGTTGAATAAAAGCATTCCTCAGGAATTCGGGGAAACCTCAGGGTTTTCTGTCCACCATAAGGAGTCATTTTCCTTGCCTCTGGCAAAAGGGACATATGACTCTTCGTTGACACATACCTACGGTTGCATATCAAAGCCCATGCTGGCCTCCAGGCCCTTCAGTCCCTGTTCACAAATCCCTGTTAGACATTTCAAAGGCCCCTCGGTACCATCCTTGTCCTCCTCACCTCCTCCTCTTCCCTAAACTCCCAGCTGCTCCAGTTCACAGGCCCCTCCCCCAGCGGGCAATCCTCCGCATACCCTGCATGCTTTTCCACACCCTGCTGCCCAGCCTGGCTGTGTCCAGTCTGCGGCTTTCCCTCCTGGCTCTGGACAATTCCAGTTGCCTCTGGATGTTCTCTCTTATTCACAGTGAAACTGTGGTCATTTGGGAGGTCTCTTTACTCAGCTCCTCACTCACATTCGCCATCTTTCAAGCTCCAGGGAGTATTCTCTTTTTCTTTTTTCTTTTCTTTTCTCTTTTCTTCTCTTCTCTTCCCTTCCCACCCCTCCCCTCCCTCTCCTCCCTTTCTCCCTCCCCCTCCCTCCCTCTCTCTCTCTCCTTTTTTTTTTTTTTTTTTTTTTTTTTTTTTTTTTGCTGAGACAAGGTTTCTCTGTGTAGCTCTGGCTGTCCTGGATCTCACTCTGTAGCCCAGGTTGGCTCGAACTCACATAGATCCGCCTGCCTCTGCCTCCTGAGGGCTAGGATTACAGATGTGTGTCACCACCGCCTGCCAGTATTTTTTAATAACACCTTCTCCCTAGCTCCACTGCCCCTTCCCTTAGCTGTCACAACACCCACACTCTTTGGGCTAGAAATATCTTCCATGGTAATTTGGGTAAAGTCTAAATCAATTTGTAATATGGTGAGATACGCCAGCTATTTATAGCCACCACCTTCCTCCAGTCCACCCATACTGAGTCAGAGGGACACCTTCTTCAGGGCTGGCCTTCCCGGGCTCTGGCTGTGTTCTCCGCACCCTGTGGCTTTTTGATGCAAACACTAGGGTTTCCCAAGCTAGTATTACTAAATAAGGAACTTTACCATCCAGGGTCCCCAAAGGAACCAGATAGTACATTCGAGGGAGAACAAAGCCCCGAGGTACTACAAAGCGGCAAGTTAGGGGAAGGCACCCCTTAAAGGACAAGGCACTGACGTGGGTCTGGTGACACAGGAACTGCTACCCATCCCTAAACCCAGAGGGTAGGGACCGCTGGAGCCAGTGGGGTCCAGACCCCCAGATAGAGATTTAACAGACCACCCTGAGAGAAGTGTGACCTCTGGCTGATAGGTGCAGTCGGCTCAAGACAAACCACAAGGAGAAGTCAGGGAAACAAAATCCCTCACACACACACACACACACACACACACACACACACACACACACACACCATATCCCCTCAAATCTGCTGAGGCTCCTATTAGGCCAAATTGCCTCCCAGGTAGGGTGGACTACCGATCTGGTAGGGCAGAGGAAATTATCGGACACACTAAATAAACAAAAGCAGACCACGAATGACTAAATGATGACCAGACGGAATCAAACTGAAGGTCATTCAATTCCTCGAAACTGGGGACTATTAAAACTCCGCTGATCTCTAACAACTCGCTTTGCATTTCTAGGAAGACCTCAAGCTTTTGCTTCGTGACTAGATTGTCAAAATCAGAGCGCCCGTGACTCGTGCCAAAAACAAGCCTCCCATTTCCCCCCTTGATTCTCAACGTTCTCTCAAGTGAGTATTCCGGCATGTGGCAATTTCCTACCCACAGTCTGGCTATAGAAGAGATCTCAGGCAAACAGACATTTGGGTCCCACCAGAGAACTCTGGCAGCAGGCTATGTGGCTCTCCCCCTCCAGTGTCCTGAGAGAATGTGTTACAGTGTACTCTTAGGGAAGAGGTGGGCGGGGAAGTCAGGGAGAGCAAAGGTACAGAATTTGTTGGAAGAAACCATAGATCAAAACTAGAGACAGAATTCTACCTGGAGGTGGAGGGCATGGCTGGAGAGATGCCTCAGCAGTTAAGAGCATGTATATACTACTCCTGCGGAAGACTGGAGTTCAGTTCCCAGAACCCACATCAGGTGGCTCACACCAACTCTAGCTCCAGGGAATATAACATCTCTGCCTTCACTGGCACCTGTACTCACATGCACATACATACATATACACACATGATTACAATTACAATTACCCTTTTTTTAAAAAAGTCTACCTGCCCAAGAACTGGCCCCTCCCCTTGCTCATCACCGAGAGGGGTGAACTAGCCAGGACAATCCTGGAGAGCTCACCCTGGTGGTGAGGATGGGGGAGAGCTGGCGGGCTGACCAACCCTGCAACTACCCAGGCCCAGAACCAGGGTTATGAGTTGGCCCACCCCAACATCCACCCTATCTAAGATCTGTGGGAGCACATGAGCGGACTGGTCCCGCAGACCCAAAGCTGCAGGATCTCCACCACACAAAGCAACAACAGGATATCCAAGAGGAGTCCCAGTGAGGGCCCAGCATTGATGGTGTAACGGAAACCAGAGGCCTCGAACCAGACCAATGACTCTTTGCAGTGAACACTTGCAAGTAAAGATGTATGGACAAAAGGGTTTACTGTGTGACTCACTGTGACACACTACAGCTTCCATGGAGAGATTTTTTTCCTTTTTTTTTTCTTTTTTCATTTTTGCTCTTAAATTTTATTTTATTTGGGGGGAGAGGTTGCAAGGGCAGAGGGCGGATATGAAGGTGCAGGAAATGAATGGGATTGAGATGCATGATGTGAAAGACACAAAGAATAAATAAAAAAAAGAAAGCTTTTTTTTTTTTTTTAAACTTAAAAAAAGCCAGGTGGTGGTGCAAAATCCCAGCACTCAGGAGGCAGAGCCAGGTGGGTCTCTGTGAGTTTGAGGCCAGCCTGATCTACAGAGCGAGATCCAGGACAGGCACCAAAATGACCCAGAGAAACTTTGTCTCAAAAAAAAAAAAAAAAAAAAAAACCTTAAAAAAAAAGTTCACCTGTCCTAACCAAACTTCTCACCCCTTTGAAAGAAGCCTTCAGACACTAGTGATAGACCAAACTAGCAGGAGAGCCACAACCTTCTGAAGCCACAGACAGCAGCTGGGTAGGGCTCTGTCCTGAGTTCTCATCTGCATTCCTGCTAAGATGGGTCCTAAGAACATCGGTTACATGGTATGACCTCATAGACCCCAAATATCTTCCCAATGGACTGAAATTCCTGTTGAAGTTTCCATCATTTGAGTAAATCATTTATGCTGAGAACCTGCTTCTAGAAGTCTTCTGCTAAAATGTGCATGATTGCCTAAAAACAGCATGATGCTTTTTGGCTTTTGGTCTTTTCAACATCTCTTTTCTTTCCCATGTTTGGAGACTCTATCCGATATGAGCATCTGCTGAAGCACAGTGCCTCCTTTTTTTAAAACGTCTCACCTAGAGGCCCATCCTGTGGTCGGCCAGGCAGGGTCACAGGACCTATGGTCAGCTTACCATGCACTGGCTCCAGGCTTTGCATCAGCTGGTGGCACAGGAGAATGTAGGGAGCAGTAGCTGGTGTCAGCGACAATGACTCTGTAGCCCTAGGGGCTGTGAACTTCGGATCCAGGACTGGTTACAGTCACATTCTCAATATCATTGTTTCTGGCACGGTTTAGACTGTGGTCCTAATGGTGAAATGTCACCCTCTGTTTCCACCCAATATCCAAGGCAGATCCTCAGCCTCCCCACAGTGTTCAGAACTTCCTAAGATCCTTTTGCTTAAATTCCCATGATACTTTAATCAGGTAGAATCAATCTTTTTTGTGAGATACTCAAAGCACCCAACTGATACAAGACTGGCATACTAACTCAAGACCAGCCACAGATAAGTTCCTTTGTCAATTTTTTATTTTCCCCAAAACAAGGGTTTTCTGTGTAGCCTTGGCTGTCTTGGAACTCACTCTGTAGACCAGTGTGGCTTTGTACTCAGAGATCCACCTGCCTCTGCCTCCAGAGCGCAGGGACTAAAAGCGTGCGCCGCCACCACCACCACCTGGCTGAGTTACTTTGTCTAACTAGCTGGTCATGGCTCTGGAAAATAGTAGGACCCCAGGGAATGGGTCTTATTAACGGGGAGATTGTGAGAGCCCGGTTTTCCGAGCAGCGGCTGAGAGGGCTCACCTGGCTGTACAGGGCAGAGACTTCAAGGCATCGTCAGGAACCCAGGAAGTACTTGGCAAGTGTTACGCAGGATGTGTCAGGCTACTGATAGGAAAGGTGGGTGACGATAAGGCCAAAATCTAACGGAATCTAGAGGTCGCCACTGAGGCCACGGAATATGACTTACTGGGACAGCTGCACAGAACATTCAAGGGACACTTCCGCCTTGCCAAGTTAAGACCATTTTCTCTTTGATTTGTCTTGACAAGCTCTGCCCGACATTAGTTACACGGTAACAGAACTCGGTTTCTGTCCCCTCAGTTGCCCTCTCCACTTAGTATAATTCTTTTATGACTTAGAAAGTGGAGATGAGAAGCAACAACTGTGTGAACTCACTCTTACCAAAAGAATAGGGACTGTGACTTCACGTTGTCCCCCAGGGAGCGGCACAGGAATGGTCTGCTTTTCTTGGAAGAGTGCTTAGTCTGCTTTTCTTGAAAGAATGCAGGGAGAAAGGACTTCAGGAAGCCGGCGCTGGACGGTACTACTGTGACTGGATGGAGTGGGAGGGTCCACAGGTAGCAGGCTCTGCCTTCCTTCCTGTCTTGCATCCCTCTGCTTTGGCCCAGAGTAAGCACGGCCTTTGGGTCCCAAACGGGGAAATCAGGCTGAGCTACCATTCTCTTAGCTGGTCCATGGAAGCATCATATCTGCCCACTAGAGACTCCAGATGTGAACCCAGAGCACTAGGAAAGGGCCCTGCCGCTGGCCCTTTCTCAATGCAGTGGCTCTCGGCCATCAGCAGAGCAGGGAGTTCACATCTGGTGCCACACCCTCCAGCAGTACCCTGGGATAAATCTTTAGGATGCTGGCTCTCATCCTCCCGGGGCATGCAGTGGGAGATGTATTTATTGTCAAGTAGCATCAGACTGTCACCCTTTGCCTCCATGGCTGTCACCAAAGAAAGGTCATTGAAAAATAACCCAAAGGAACACGTCACAGGACATTACACACAATGCATTTGATTTAAAAAATATATATTTATGAGCTGCGCCTTTTATTCTAACAGAATGTCACTTAATAAATATTTCACCAGGATGATGAGGATAAATCACAAGGGTGGGAGAAGAACTTAATGGGACTGAAGATGGAAATTTTTTAAATTTTAATTTAACCTTCGATGTGTCACACCCGGCCGCTGCAGATGTGACAACCCGTCACAGAAAAGCATCCTTACGTGCACAGATCAAATTTCCGGCCTGGGCACGTAGGTCAGTATATGGACGACCAGTGGCACCGGCTCTTGATGACCTGAAGCAAAGGCTTCTTAAAAGTGAGGAAGATGATGGTGCAGGCCACCAGCAGGGTGAGGCAGCTGGGCAGAATGAGGACGAGGTAGAACAGGCCAGTGTCCACCTGCCCCCACTTACAGTCCCGGGGCACGCCTTCGGGCAGCTCGACCACTCGGATGATCCTGGAAGAGAGGTTGCAAGTGACCATGGCCAAGTCCGCCACGGTCTTGAAGTGCTGCAGGGCCCCCCATCCCTCTACCCCGCAGCAATCGTAAGGGTTCTGGCTGAGGTAGATGGCCTGCAGACTCCTCAGTGGCCGCTCAGACACAGCCCTCTGAGGAAGGGCTGTGAGGAAGTTTCTGCGGAGGTCAAGAGTCCGAAGGGCCAGGCTGCCGCTGAACCTTGGGAAGCTGGTCAAGGAATTTCCTGAAAGATCCAGCTCCCTCAGATTCCCAAACCTAGAGAAGTCCATCTCTGCCGTGCCGGAACTGAGGCCCACATTCCTGAGCGCCAGGACCTGCAACGTGGGGGCAACAGCCCAGAGAGAGCTGATGCTTCCATTCAGAACCCCCCAGTTGCTAGACAGGTCTAAATGAGTGAGGGAGGTACCCTGGAATGGGCAGTCTCGTAATGCCTTCAGGCCACAGCCCTCCAGAGACAGGCTCCTCAAGGAGGCCATGTTTCTGAAATCCACACAACTGGAGGGCCCCGCCCAGTCTAAGGGCACCACCTGGGGACAGAGTGAGATCTGATTGTGGCTCATGTCAATTGTAGTGATGTGGCTGGCGTTGTCGAAAAGGCCTGTGGGGACTCCCAGGAGCTGGTTGGAGCTCAGGTTGAACACCTGGAGGTTCCTGAGGCAGTCGGTGAGCCCCGGAGCGAGGCGCAGCTCGGCCAGCTGGTTGTGGCTCAGATCTAGCTCAGTGAGTGCCCCTGGGGGCTCATGCTCCCGAATGTGGAGCATCTTCAGGCAATTTTGGTTGAGGTTCAGGTGGGAAAGGGATGGGGTTTTCTTTAGGAAGCCGTCCGGCAGGTGCCAGAACTGGTTTTGGCTCATGTCCAGGAAGCGAAGGGCCGACAGGTCGCTGGAGGCAAACTCTTCCCAGAGGTTGACCGTGGTGATGTTGGTCACGTTGCCATCCACAAGAAGGAACTGGGCTACCATCTCCTGTGGTGAGGAGGTGTTATAGAGGTCCCTGTAGAAACCCATGTTGTTGTCCCGTAGCAGGAGGGTATGCAGCTTGCCGCACTGGGGCAGGAGAGGGAAAAAGAGCAGCTGGTTGTGAGACAGGTCCAGGACCTCCAGTTCAAAGGCTGCCTCCTCCCTGGCTGCCAGGAACCACTCCAGGATGTTGTAACTGACGTTGAGGAACCGCAACTGCGGGAGCCTGAAGTCCACAATGCACGGGAGGTTGTTGTAGGCAAGGTTGAGACGCCTCAGCTCAGTCAGGCCATCGAAAGCACCACCCTCAATCTCGAAGATATAGTTTCTCTGCAAATCCAGCTCCCTGAGGTGCTCCAGGCCCTCAAAGACAGACTCATCGAGCCTCATGAGGGCGTTCCTTGCCAAAGACACAGCCTCCAGCGAGGACAGGTTCTGGAGCATGAGGCCTGCCATGTCTTCCGTCAGGGAGTTTCCGGACAAGTCCAGGCTCCGGAGTCCTAACAGGGTGTGGAGGGCTGCCGCCGTCTCCTTGTAGTTCTCGGAGAGGCGGTTGTCTGCCAGGCCCAGGCTGCGTAAGCGGCCCTGCCCTTGGAAGGCGTAGTGGCCAATACGGTCCAGGTGACAGCTGTGCATGCTGAGGTTCTCCAGGCGTGGGTAGGCCCGGAAGGAATGATTCCACAGGACCTTGAGAGGGTTGGCATCCAGAATGAGCATCCGGGGATGTGATGGGAGGCTTCTGGGTACCGAGGCAAGGTTCTGCCCCCGGCAGTCAGCGACTCCATCCACCTAGGTCCAAAAACACAGGAATTCAGGCACAGAAACGTAGTTTGCAAGAGCAATCAGCTAGCCAGATGTTAGTTAAGTGTCCAGGAAAAAAAAATGTTAGGAAGAGCAATGCCATCACTTCCTATAGGCTGGTCGGTGAGTCAAGGCGCATCTCACTTACAAGTGAGTACCGAATAGCTCAGTCTCCAAGGACAAAGAGAAAAGGCCCTAGGAAGGGACGGCACCCGGGTTTGGAGTCAGCCCTCAAGGCTGGACTTCCACTCTGCAGTATGCTGATTTGACCCCGAGCAAGGAACTAACCTCTCACAGTCTCAAATTCTTCATCTGGTTATTAAAATAAAACATAATAACTAAAAAATTGATGCTATATGGAAATATAAAAAAAATGGAAAGTAACCAGGCATGGTGGCAGCACCCAGTACCCAGGAGGCAGAGGCAGGTGGGTCTTCGTGAGTTTGAGGCCAGCCTAGTCTACAGAGCGAGTTCCAGGCCAGACAGGGCTATTTAGAGAGACCCTGCATCAAAAGCAGAAAAAAAGAAACTCAGATAATCTCAGCTTCTCCCTCAGATGAAAGTCGCTAACCATTATGAATCCATTACTTGTAATTGGGCTCATAAGGTGTTTTTTTTTTTTTTGAGTGTGATTGCTGATTATCACATTTATTATGGCTAATAAGTGTTGGCGTACCAGCTGTAATTACCAGTGTGCGCTAATTAATTAAGATGCTCATTGTTGAATACTTGAGGTGGGTTTTTTTTTTGTTTTTTGTTTTTTTAATTTCAGCATAGACATTAGAATGAACTTGCCAGGCTCCTTCCTACCTCCGCTCCCCCTCCCAAAGCCTACTGCATTTAATGATGGGATTGCATTCATGTGTGGAGAACTGACATTTTTACACACGGAATCTCAGCACTGAGACCGATGTTAGCTCTGTATTTTCCTGTGGCCTCTCTGGAGACCACCACACTTAGTGGCTTTCCTCAGCCTGTGATGGACCCTGTTCCTCCACAGCTGCTGTAGGCAAAGGGGGTTCCGACCTTCGTAATTCCCCCCCCCCCAAAGTGTTGCCAAGGGCCATGTGGTCACCGGAGCACACAGGAAACTTTACATGCCCATTCTACGCCAAGGTGGAATGGCTAATGTCATGAAGAACAGTGCCTGAGCTTCCAGACCCCTGAAGTCCTAAGAGCCAAAGGAAATCCATTCTTTGATTCCTTGATGGTCAAGTCTCTACCACTTCCCACCAGGCAGAGTCCAGACTGAGCCCTGAAAAGTGGCTGAAGCTCTCACACTGTATTCCCTTCTCCTCCCATGCCTGGTGGCCCCCAAATAGCTACTGTGATGTTAAATCACTTGTTGCCTCTGTAAGGGCATGGTGGCAGTCACGTGTAGCTGGGCTGACACTGATAATAGCGTGTTCATGATAACTGGCAAAACACATGGCACTCACTGTATATCAAGCATCATCATAGCGAGTGCTTGTTATAAATCAATCACCAAAACAGCCCAGTCTCATGATATCATTGATAGAAATTATTGTTGCTATCATCATTATTATTATCATCGATAGGTCTCATGTAGCCTAGACTGGTCTTGAACTTGAAATGTCACTGAGACTAGCCTTGAACTCTTGACCCTCCTGCCTCTACCTCCTGAGTACTGGGTTGACAGGTGTGTGTCATCATGATCAGCAGATATTATTAGTATTGCTTCTGTTTTATAGATGAAGAAACTGGCAGAGAGTGGCTTCAGGATCACCAGGTAAGCAGTGGTTTTTAAGATTAATCAACTTTAAGAACACTTTCTTCCCCTGGCACCAAATACACTGGAAAAAAAAAATTCTTGAATGTAAGTATTAACCCTGGCTTCCAGTTTGTCTTTCCTGTTCTTGGGGTTGAGGGATGCTTATTAGGCATGTATTTCTCAAGCAGATGTTTGATATCTGTTGAGATGTTTGATTCAGGTATAGGCAAATTTCTGGAATTGAGCTCAACGATGACCTAAATCTATCTTCACATGCAGGTAGGAAGTCTTCAAAAGACGATCATGAAGGCTCAGGACACCCCGCCCATGGACCTTCAGCAGCTTAAGCTTGGTCATGAGCATCGCTCTGCAGTATGGTTTGGGTAGCTCGCTCTCTGCAGGGCCGCTGAAGCATCTGTGTTGGCTCACACATGAACTCGCAGGCAGGCAGGACTTCTCCAGGGTTGGTGTGTCTCCCTCAGTGACTCTGGTAGCATTAGTGGAGCCCATCAGCCAGGTATTCCTGCTGTTGGTGGCTGATGTAGGCCTTTTCCTGGGGCCTCTTGTGGTCAGTACACATGAAAAGGTGGGGCAGGGACTTCCTGGCCCTTCCCAAGGCCGTCTTGAAAATCTCCTGCTGAAGCGCAGTAAGCACACTGCACTAGGCAGGTACACACTGAGTCAGATTCATTCACTTGATGTTCTCTTCAACTGACAAACCATGAGCTTTCCAAGCAGACCAAGCAAGCCCCGTGCAGACAAAAGGGGCAAAAGAGAGATCGCAATCCAAGGAGAAACTCACCACCTTGCAGCCTCCTTGGGAAGCTGCAGCGGCCGCCCCTCCTCCATGCCTCCATTCCACAACCAAGAAGGGAAAACCCAGGCAGAGCCAAAAGGGCAGGAACTCCATCTCAAGCGCGGCACTGCGGACAGAGACCAGGACAAATTGAGAAAGACAGGTTAGCCGAGAGGGCTGGCTGATCAGCCCGGGGAAGAAGGACCCACAGCTGCAAGGAGGTAGAAAACCACAGATTATTCAAGTCTCTCTGCTCAGCCAGCGCCTTCGACCTTCCGCTGACCCCATGGGCAAGAACTCATTTTCATTTTGCCTCTGCCATTCAATGGGCAGGTGGCTGACCTCTGAAACCCCAAAGGGGCAGGACAGGAGATGCAAAGGACTTGGTTGAGTCCCAGGCCTGAGGTCACTGACAGTTTCCTGTGCTTTGCCATTCTGCAGTTTTCCTCTATGAAGCTCATTTCTGCCTGATGCATACATGAGCTCGAGGTACATGCCGTGAATGAATGAATGAATGAACGGGCAAAGTTCTATCCTTATACACTAGGATACAAACACTGACTGTAGCCTCTGGACTTAGAAATATTAATTATCTTGTTGAAAGAAGGCTTTCAGGCCAGGCGATGGTGGCATACGCCATCAATCCCAGCACCCGGGAGACAGAGGCAGAGAGATCCCTGAGTTCAAGTCCAGCCTGGTCTACAGAGTGAGTTCCAGGACAGCCAGGGCTACACAGAGAAACTGTGCCTCAGAAAACAACAACAACAACAATTTAAAAAAGAAAGAAAAAAAAAAAAAAGAAAGAAGGCTTTCAGAAATATGTCCATCACATTGGTTAGCTCATTTAAATGTGGCCCTTCCAAAAAGGATGTTCAGATTTTCACCTGGACAAGGAAAAAAAAAAAAAAAAAAAAAAAAACCTTGAGAAAATGCAAAAGCAATCTTTGGCTAGATTAAAAAGTTCTGAAGTGCAGTTATAGCCCTCTTATCTGGCTAGTGCAGAAAGACCAGCAGTCAGGGGAGGCTTGGAGTGATACAGCCATCAACAGAAGTCTCCGATGAGGAGGCGACGGCATCACCTGCACAATAGTCAGGGGACCAAAGGTCCGGGATAACACTGGTTATCTCCAGGGTTCCAAATGGACTGGACTGAGAGCAACCCTGTTCCCCCTTCTGAGCTCCAGGGTGAGTAACTAGGGAGTCGTCCCCCCCACACACACACCCACACCCCAATGGACAATCCTCCAAGTGTGAGATCTGACAGCCCAGGGGCATCCCTGTCCTCCTCCGCCCCCACGGGAAGCAAGCACCTGGTCCAGCGTTCCATCTGCTCCTTCCTTGCCTGGATACCCGCAAGAAGGACCACAGGGCAGCTCTTCAGCCTCTCCCTGGGCCAGCAGCACCATGCTGCCACGAACCTCCTCATTTTCCATGCCACCCTCAGACCTCTGCCGACAGTGCAGACCCCCTTTGGCTCCCCCCTCTTCGGTTTCCTCCTAGTGTGCTTACCCATCCCGAAGGGACACTTAACATCCTGGTCAGATCTGAATGTTCACTGGCGAAAACAGACAATCAGAAAAACCAAGTGAAACCACACATATCAACCCCAGCTTTCACTGGAGGCCAGGCCGGTCCTCTGTGCCCCAGAAACAACCTGGGTGGGATCAGGCCTTGACAGCCTCTGGGAATCCTTTCCAAGGCCCTCTTCCCTTCCCTGAACCTGTGCAGGAATTATTACCCCACGGCCGGCACAGGGCACAGATGGCACACGCAGAGCCATCTGGACTCCTGTCCTCAGCATCCTCCAGCACTCTCCCCCACACACACAAGCACCCCTGAAACTTTGGGATTCCTGCCCATCCTGGGGTAAGGTTGCCAGATTAGTAAATGCCAAGGACACTAAGAAACTGTTCACTCACGTTCTCCTCTCACCGAGTGCCCTCCCGCTCACGGAGGAGATGGGGAAATGGGAATTGTCTACACCGTAAGTCTTTTTTTTTCTCCACTTCCTGTCATGCGTGGGCTGCTCCACGCAGCTGTACACCGAACACTGACAAACTAAATTTCGATGTGTGAAGAACAAGGATACAGCTCCCTAGGGGCTCACAGCACTTCAGACTGGCATGCTAGGTAAGCCTGGGTCACTACATCCAGTGTAATTTTAATTTGTGAGACAGCAAAATGTTTGCAAAATTTAAAGGTATTCTCTTCTCCTAAACTCAGCCAACAAGCTCAGAGGGAAAAAAAAAATCTTGCCATGCCCACAAGGGCGACATCTGGCATTAAGTCACAGGATGTCATGGAAAGATTATAGAGTTTGGAACCTGGACAGTCCAGAGTTTAAATGTTGCCTCCGCTCTCCATAATGCGTATAGCATCTCCAAGACTTGGGTAATCTTTCCCATAAAACGGGAGCAATAATAACCCCGCGTAGACTTTTATGAGAGCCGCTCAGGCTGTTGTATGTGAAGGTGCTTCGTTAACTGTGAGAGCCGCTAACAACCTAATTATTATTTATGAATTCCAAATAGCACTGAGCAGCTCCAGTGGTGGTTGTTCTTAAGTATCATCTCCAGGATAGTACAGAAAAAAAAAACACAGTTAATACTACGGCTAGAGGGATGATGGCGTCGCCATGCCAATTAAATAATCTGTTTAAAAAGGCTGGATTAAAAAGTCTACACTAAGAATCAAGAATAGGACAAGGAGCCGGAGACATGGCTCAGCAGTGAATCCTGTTTACTGCTTTGGCAGAGGACCAAAATGTAGCTCATAACCTCTTACAACTCCAGGAGATCCAACACCTCTGGCCTCAAAGGGCACCCCCACACACACACACACGTGTAGTGTGGTACCCACACATACATATAACTAAAAATAAATCTGTTTTATTTTCCTTTTTTTGGTGGGGGGAGTTTTAAAGAAAAGAATAGGGTGATCCAGGGGTGATGACTGGGAAAAAGCTATCCATCCTCGAGGGATGACCTCATCTCGCCTTGCTCTGCTCACTATGGCAGATTCCAAAGGCTCCACAAGCCCCAACGGCAGCTGGCCCACGGCATGTTGGGAGCACAGCTGGCATGTTAGAAGACAGGAGAACGGAGAATCCCAAGTATCTCTCCCTTTCCCTCTCCCCTTGAGACTTTCCTGGTGACCCCAGACTCTGGGACCACCATCCCTTTTTCCTCCCCCCTGCCTAGGGCACCGATTCCTGCATGGTAAGAGGCTAGTATCTGTTTGCCTCTTAGCCTCTTCCATCATTTTCTGTCTCCGGCATGACATTTCCCATTTGAAACAGTTCAGGCGACCCCTGTTTCCTTTCTGAACTACCGATGTAAACGAACATGGCCTTGAAGCTGTGATCCACGAAAACACAGAATGAGGGGTGATGGTTCTTGCTGAGGCAGAAGGATCATAACTCTGAGGCCAGTCTGGTCAACTCTTTGAGACTCTCAAAAGGAAAACTAAAAACGGCTGGTGTTCTTGGGCCAGGATGTAGAGCGCACCAGAGAAGCTGGTGAGGTCCTGGGTACAAGCCCCCGTCCTCTAAGAAAATAGAGGCCTGAAACCATTGATAAAAAGTAACAAAGTAACCTTCAGGTTGGAAACACTCTTCTAGACTAAGTATCTACAGAACGCTCCTCAGAGACACTGCACCACAGGGCCCAAGATAAGCTGTATTATCTCTGGAAAAATCCCAGGAGCCTTCTGCTGGGATGGCGTTCTTCACCTCTCCGCCCCTCCAGCTGTGACTACCATGCCAGCGGCTGCCAGACAACGGGCTGCAAGGTCTTTGCTGAAGGAGCTCTTAGCAAGTGTCACACATGCATTACCACATAATTAACTTTCTCCTCAAATGATCAGAGAAGCTAAAGAAGCCTTAAAGAAAGAGGCTTTGTGGAGAAGAAAGCAGGCAGCTGGCAGAGGTATTTTGTATTAGAGACAAGTGTTTATGGATTGGGGGCACGGGGATCATCAGAAGCAGGTGTGCAGGGTCAGCGTGTGAAGGTGGCCCCCCGTGAATACACAGAGCGACTACGTGCCAGAGAAGGACTCTGAGGGAAAGGAAGTCTGCCTCTGTGTGAAGGTAAAGACTCCACCCCCCACCCCCCCCCACCCCCGGGATCTTGGAAGAAAGGGGAGTCAGCTGGTCACAGACCACAGAATAAAGGACATTAGCATCTCTAATGTGACTACATCAAATGGCCCGGGTGCTGGGAAGCACCTTGGAAAGCTCCAGGCAAGCAGGTTGGCTTGCTTTGATTCTTAGCACAAGACTCCTGGGACTCTAACCTTCAGCAAAGTTCAAACCTAGCAACTCCCAATGTGAGCCCTGAGCTCTGAGCTCCAGATGTGGTACATCAGAAGCGCAACACTCTGTTCTCACAGCCCCCGGGAGAGAGTGCATGTCATGACAGAAAACCCATGGATCCGGCTGTACTGACCTACAGAGCAACTGACTTGGATCCTTCAAGGGTCAAAGTCTTGCCTGGTGTAGTGATTCACATCTACAACCCCCAAAAGCAGAGATGGGAGGGCACAGACTGAGCTCCCCCTCAAAAAACAAACAAAGATAGTATTATCGACCACCAATTTTACACACACACACACACACACACACACACACACACACACACACACACACAAATCCTATATCCAATGGCTTAGTCAGGGTAAAAGCAAAGTGCTACCTCAACTGGTCAACCGATTGGTCAATTTAACAGTGTGCTTTTTAAAAGTTATTATGCTTTCATTAAACTGTTCTATAACTTGAAAATTTTCAAAGTTAAAAAAAAATAATAAAGAAGGGCTGGAGAGATGGCTCAGAGGTTAAATAAATCATAAAAAAAAAAGATTTATTTATTATGTATACAGAAGAGGGGTGCCAGATCTCATTACAGATGGTTGTGAGCCACCATGTGGTTGCTGGGAATTGAACTCAGGACCTCTGGGAGAGCAGTTGGTGCTCTTAACCTCTGAGCCATCTCTCCAGCCCATAAATAAATCTTTTAAAAAAATAAATAAAAAAAAATAAAGAATATGAGCTAAAAACACACCTCCCCCCCCCAAGACAACTTTACATAATGGATCAAAGGCCTTCAATGTATGCATTCTTTGTAATTCAATAATTCCGATCTGAAAAATTTCTTCTCCAGCAAAACGAGACTAGAGGTGTTGCAGGTGTTACTGGATTAGGAGCAGCCCAACAGCGCCTCATGAGCTGTCAATCAGCCTGTGCTCAAAGGATAACACCCTCAAAAGCGGGTGATTAACCTACCGGGGCCCATCATGTTGGTCTCTGGGACCAGTTGGTCCCAGTTGGTCTCTGGACAAATAGGTAAGGAGTTGAAGCATTTGAAATCACTGGACTACTGCCCCTTGAATATAGTACTGAGAGTCTGCATGAAGTAAAGGTTTGTCTCCCATGACCCCTCTAGCAAATAAATTTTAATTCCAATTTTGTAGATGGTTACCTTTTTGAGAAAAAGTATCATTTCTGTTCTGGCTAGGTTTCTAACTAAGAAACTCAGCATTTCTGTGAGAAACCCCATAACCAAAAGCAACTCAGGGAGGAAAGGGTTTATTTCAGTTTACAGCTGAAGGAAGTCATGGCAGGAACTTAGTCAGGAACCTGGAGGCAGGAACTCAAACAGAAGCCGTGGAGGAGGCTGCTTACTGGCTTGCTCCACATGGATTGCTCAACTTGTTTTCTTATGGCATCCAGGACCAAATGCCCCTCACTATCCACAGAGAGCTGGGCCCTCCCACATCAATCATGAATCAAAAAAATGTCCCCCGGACTTGCCTACAGACAGTCTGATGAAAGCATTTTCAAGTGAGGTTCCTTCTGACCAAAAACTGACCGGCACAATTTCCCAAAGGACCACTCAGCACTGTTTTATAGCTGGAAATCCTAACAAATGGATATGTGGAGGCCCACAGAGGTTTCCTAGTGAGATCTGAGCTTGCTTTACAAGGCAGGGCTGCATAAGGGGATGGCTGGACCACGTGGTGGTGGCAAGGTGTATGGAAGGGTCTGCACTTGGACTGTGCACTGTGTTTTGATCTAGCAAGCGGGGGGAGTCTTTTGTCCCACCCCTTGGCATTGTTATAAAAAGCCCTTTTGAAAAGACAGAAGGGGCCGGTGGATTTTGATCCAGGTCCTCCCTAAGCTATCCTGTGTTTCTGCCTGTCTCTTCTCCGCTATCTTTCTGTCTACAAATTCCTTATTCCTCTCTCTTCCTCATAGGAACCCTGTAGAAGGTGGGGACTGGCCTCCCACATGGATGGAGTGGCATGGGCAGCCGGCCTGGAGAGAGCTATGAACCAGCCCCCAAAACATTTGTCAAATACCGACGTCAGGATGTCTCCTGAGCACCAGGTCTGGCTAGCCTCTACCCTAGCCTCTATTTGAAAGGAGGCTTAAGGGCCACAGCAGCACTTACTTTCACTGAGCTCTTCCTAGAGCCAGCAACTGTTTCAAGCGCTTGCTACCTACTCAGACTCCGTTTCCCCAGGGCCACAGGTAAGTAAATCAACTGCCCGTGTGGTCAGGGCCAGGCCAGCCCATCCAAACCCACGGAGGTCAGCTTACTTAATCCAGTCCACGGCTACAGAATGCATCTAGCCACAGATCTTCAAAACTGCAAATGTGTTCCCACTGAGAGATAGCAACTGGCTCTTACGTGTCTCACTGTGGCTGGCAGTGGGTTCCCAGGATCCCCTCTGTATATGAGAAAATAATCTCTTCGGACACCCAACACGTATTGCATTAGTTTCTCAGTTCCTTTCACAGATCCCCCCACCAGTGATTTCTGCAAGAGTAAGGGCCAGCTACCATGCTTCTTCAAGAGGAACTAGGAAAGGACTGTGTAAAGGAGGGGCACTTGGACTAGGGTACGACCTAGACCCACAGCTGCCTCCTCTCCAGTAGTGGCCCCAGGTGACAGCAACACATCAAAAGGCTGGGTCAAGACAGAAGTCAAGAACCTGCGAGCGAAAGCTTTGCCTCCATAAGGAAACGCCAAGGGTTTCATGGAATCAGGGACCACCACAAGTACCTCCACAGCCTCCAGCAGTCCCCTCTCCTCCCACCCAGAGGGCAGACACATGCCTCGGTGAAGCCAGGTATCGTGTGAACCAATGGGAAGGGGAGGTCTTCTGTGCAAATGGGGTCAGTGTGGGAAAAGCTAGATGAAGGAACTATCCCATCCCCCAATCGAGGGAGATGCCTGGAGTCTTGGGCTTCCTAGAAGAGGGGACCGACTACCCTGAGTCTGTGGGTCACTGTGCACACACAGAGATGAACTGCGGCTCATTTTATCCTGGAGTGGGAATGAAAACATCTCCTCTCAACACGGTTTCTTTGAGAAGGCATGACGGAGCAACAACTCGCAGGGACCCCTCACGGTTGCCCAGATCGGTAGAAATGCCGCATCCCTGTGGGACCGGAGGCACACAGAGGTGTGGCCGAATGCCTGGTGAACGTGGAACCCCCGTTCAAACTCAAGCCTGTGAGTTCCGCATCAGCTTAACCCCAATACCACAAACCCCAACCACCCTGGGATGCATGCAGTCCTCGACTGAATCACACATTTCACAAGCTGTTTCCTCTGCAGGAAAGACCCTTTCTGTGGTCGTCTTTTACCAAATTCCTATTTCTCCTCCATGCACCTTCCTCCTGTTCACAACCTAAGAGTCTAGTTGAAGAGTAATCTGATAGGCCACATGCTATGATAGGATATTGCAGTTTCTCTCCTTTTTATTATTTATGTTTATGAGAAGCAATTTCAGTAGTTATTAATTATTAATAACAACTTTCTTCCAACATTTACATATGAAGAAAAAACTTTAGCATACAGCCAAACTGAAAAAAGCCGTGTGGTCAGTGACCACTGTATACCCACCACCTACATTCCGCTCATAACACTTCACTGTAATTAATTTTTTATCATGCTTTTTACTTATCCTTCACCTCATCTTATTTTTTTTATTGTGCTTACAAATAGATTACAAGGAGCTGGAGAGATGGCTCAGCCATTAAGAGCATGTCTGCTCTTCTAGAGAACCAACATTTGGTTTCTCGCACCCACATCTGGAGGCTCACAATGACATCTGCAGCTCCGGAGGATTCAATGGCTCTGGCCTCCACAGGCACCCGGCATGAGCACACGCACACCTATACACCATTAAAAAGCAATAAAAATAGATCTTAAAACAAAACAAAAAAATCAGCACAAATAGATGGGTCCTAGAGAGATGGCTCACTGGTTAAGAGCACCTGTTGCTCTTGCAAAGGAGTTGGGCTCAGTTCCCAGCGCCCATATTGCAGCTCTCGACTGCCTGTAACTATAGTTCCACAGGATCTGATGCCCTCTTCTGACAATGGTGGGTTCCTGCATGCATGTGGTGCACATATACACACATGCATGCACACACAATACAGGTAAAATTAAATAACTATTTAGAAAAGACTTCCAGTGGCTGGGCATGGTGGTACATGCCTATAATCCTAACATTTAGGAGGCTGAGGGAGGAAGATGGTGAATTTGAGGCCAGTCTGTGCAATTTCATGACCTGTCCTCAGAACAAAATGTACAAAGAGTGAGAGGCAGATCAGCGGAAGAGCACGGACCTCGAATGCACAAGGACCTGGGTTCAGCCATCAACACTAAACGAATAAACAAACACACACTATGGTCATCAGTACTTCTCTCCCCAAATACTTCAGAGTGCATATAAAACAATTTAACTCTTTAAACATTGTTGTGAGGGAGCCAGAGAGATGGCTCAGTAAAGAGCACTAGCTACTCCTACAGAGGACCTGAGTTCTTATCACCCACATGGCAGCTCACAACTATTGTTAACTCCAGTCCCAGGGGATCCAATAACATCTTCTGGCCTCTGCTCAGACCTATTAGAAAAATAAACACAAAATTTTAAAAACCTCTATGACCAACACTGAGGGGGCTGAGGTATGATGATGGTCATGAGTTTGAGACCCACGGGGGCTATATAAATTCCAGGCCAGTCTGGACTGCAGTGTGAGGTCCTGTCCCAAAATAAATTTAAAAAGAAAATTAAAATCCTCCTATTGATGCCTGGTGGTGATGGCACATGCCTTTAATCCCAGTACTGGGAAAATAGAGGCAGGCAAATCTCCAAGTTCAAGGCTAGCCTGATCTACAGAGCAAGTTTGAGGACAGCCAGAGCTACACAGAGAAACCCTCTCTCAAAATTAAGTCAAGAAGAAGAGGAGGAGGAGAGGAAGAATTTATTTTGAATTCATGGGGAAATGATAGGATTTTTTTTTTAAATTTCCTTTCTAAATTAGGCGTGCTGGTACATGACTGTAATCCCAATACTCAGAACACGGAGGCAGGAGGATGGAGAATTGAAGACCAGCCTGGGTTATATAGTGAGATTCTATCTTAAAAAAAAAAAATAATGGACTCCTAAAAAATTATTGCAAGCCAGGCGGTGGTGGCGCACACCTTTAATCCCAGCACTCAGGAGGCAGAGCCAGGCGGATCTCTATGAGTTCAAGGCCAGCCTGGGCTACAGAGCGAGATCCAGGACAAGCATCAAAACTACACAGAGAAACTCTGTCTTG